TTGAAAAGTTTTAAAGTAATTTATTATTTATTAAACGGTGCATCGTACAAAAAAAAGTCAAGAGAGTTTTTTTCTACCAAATTGAACGAGGAATTCAAAAATAACATTAATTTTTAGAAAAACCAGGGACGTACCATTTTTTTATTGGAAAATAGTCACTAACGATCCGCTACTCGCGCCACTGGTGACAGTAAAAGAAACTTTTGCATTGCAAAATTTAAGTCTTCCATTGCTATTGACAACTGTGAAATTTCATTTAATTATCTTAAGCGGTTTAAAAAAAATGTATTTTTCTATTTTTCAGAATAAACTTCAACACCCTGTATTTTCGTAACGAAGCAATTTTGGACTATTGTTTGTATAGCAAACTACGGTTATTTTTGGACGTAGAACATACCATTAAAGTTTGTCACGAAAAAGCTGGTCCACCCTGTATATTGAAATACATAAGGAATTTCAAAGGATTTTGATTTAGAATTTAAAAATAATTAGAATTATTTATTTTAACATTTGGAAAATTAAAGTAAAACAGATATTGTTATTAGATATAGAAATATTGTAAATAAAATAATAATAAATTATGTAAAATTTAGATAATAAGGTAAAACGTGTGTGAATACAGGAAAGTTATACAAAATTTAAAAAGATGTGAATAACAAGACATGTATTTAATCAGATGAGAAAGAATCAAACTGGAACACTATATAAAAATTTTATATGGCAACGGATTTGGATTAAAAAAAGGAGAGGTGTGCTGAGATGTCATAATAATCTGACATAAAAATTAAGATAGGTAATTGGGAGGAAAATTACAAATTAATTAGCGAGAATCAATATATTCTCAACCAAATACTGTTCCAAATAGGAAATGAAAATAAATAGAACATTTGAATATAATCAAGATTTGGCAGTTTAATAAGAGAAAAGGAAAACAAGGAGACACGAACTCGAATTCAAGTAAAGGAATGAACCAAAATATAGAAACACTATAAAACCAGTGAAATATAATATTTGTATAACATAAAGTACTGAATTCGTAAGTGAATAAACATTTGATTAATACGTCAAATTAGAACAATAATAAAAGTCAAATAAATCTTAGTGTTAGTGGACGTCACTTCTAGTTATACAGGGTGATTCAGTCATAATGTCATTAATTTTAACCACGTACTCGGAAGGCTTAATAAAGACAGAAAATCGGAAAAAAAAATTTTTACTCGACTTTTAAAAATGAAGGAAATCAACCCCTTAACTCCCGCTAAGAGGGCGGCCCTGCCAGATGCCCGGATGCTCGGAAAATTTTGTAACGTAATGTCACGAACAAATCGTCAGCTGAGGCGAACAGCGTTGCCAAGTTCACATCATAATCTGCGGTTCACATTTAATTTTGCCGCTTTAATATACGGATACATATGTACGAAACCAATAAAATGCAAGTAAATAAAGAATCATGCTGCATTTTATTATAACTAATTTTAATAATTGTATTAACTTAGTGCAAAATGATTTAACAAGCCTTACTTCTCGAGGTCAACTTTCGTTAAAAGAAAATAAATAAAGCAGAGGTTTGTAGGCACACTGAATTTTATCAAATAAAAAAAATCGGCACACTAAATACCCGAATATACAAAATACACTACACACGGTTACAAAACCATTACCTAACAATTTAAAGCGTTTATTCAAATCTACCACCCTCCATATCTCCCGCATTTTTCCCGCAAAGGAGTTAACATAACACATTTTCAAAAAGTTCAAGCTTTAGAAGCAGCTGATTTCCCCAATCGTCTTGAATTTTGCAATTGGTTCCTAAGTGC